TGATGGTGGTGGTGGTGGTGATGACGACAAGGTGGTGGTGGATAACGATGATGACGAGGAGGAGGAGAAGCAGAAATAGAAGAAGACGAATAATGATGATAATCATAAGAATAATAATATCAATCATAATAGTAATAAGAATACCGCTAATACTAATAATAATAGCAAGAAGAAGATGATGAAGGCGATGATGATGACGACGATGAGGAGGAGGACCAGTGTAAACCCAAGACGCATCAACGATTCGGCAACACAGCCTCCCTCCAAGTTCACCCTCCATAAGTCCCGACAATCAGTTATTGCTATTGCGGGAAGTGGCCCATTGTGGGACTCCCCGAGTAAGCTCACACGGATAAGTCATTCTCTCAGTGGCTATGGTTAAAACAAAGATCTGTTCGGTCTGTATTACCGCGAGCAGGCAAGTTCCGATTCCGTGACCGCGCTGTGTGCCGTGGCGTGACGTACCGTGCCGTACCGTGCGTGCTATGCTGTGCGTGCTGTCCGCGCCGTCCTTCCTCCCATCTCTTATCCCCCTCTTCTGCCCTCCCTCCGTCGCCGCCTTCTTTCACTCTTTGCCCACCTTTCTGGCCCCTCCTCCCCCCCCCCTCTGGCCCCGCCTTTCTGGCCCCTCCCTCTTCGCCCCTCTTGGCCCTTCCCCTCTTCGCCCTCCTTTCTGGTCTCTCCCCTCCTTTCTGGCCCTCCTTCTTCACCTCTTCGCCCTCCTTTCTGGCCCCTCCCCTCTTCGCCCACCTGTCTGGCCCCTCCTCCCTCCTTCCTCCTCTCTTCGCCCACCTTTCTGGCACCTTTCTGGCGCATAGCACGATCGTGTCCTTTTTTGGGGTGCCAGTTTCGCTATGTCGCCCGTCGGCGGGTAGAAGCAACCATCAGCACAACTAGACGGGATGGGTGGGAGAGGTAGGATGTCCACTATGGCGCGAGCGCGTCTAGCTTGTCCCACCCCTTCTCCCTCCTCCTGCTCGTCCATCCCTCTTCTGTGTGAATAGCTCCCTGTCGTCGCGCCACCAGCGTGTCGGAAGAGCGGGCTTGGCGCTTCGTTTGAGACTGCCTCGCAGTGTAAGACCATGGAGGTTGAAGCTTGGAGCAGCTGCGTATGGAGGGCTGGTGATTATCAGCATGTGCTTTCGCACTGAGCGCGCGTCGTAATCTATTCCAGCTAGTACACGGATGGAGGCCGGTTCCTTTTCAAAATGTGGCAATCGTGATTGCGCCGCGCACACTCGTCTTTAGTGATTGCCAGGACTGAAAGCAGTTGGTTATTTTGGATGCGCAATCTTTGTGGTGCAATCCATTTGTGGAAGTTGAAGGCTTCAACCTCAATGCTTGAGCGCATGTCCCGCCCACCAGCCCGCAACTTGCTCTCGAATTTCAACCGGCGTAGTGACGCGAGGACCCTTCTCTTGCATGTGGTGATTATGACGACGGCGACGACAGGGACGATGACGATGACCATGATGATGTTGATGACTAAGCTGATGGTCCGATGGTGGTGATGATGACGGTGGCAATGATGACGCTGGCGATGATGATGACGATGCTGCTGGTCAGGGTGATGTGGAAGTGCTCGCGGGCGCAGATATCCAGGAATTCTGACAGAAGTGGTGTTGAAAAGCCATGTTGTTGAAATCTGTTTTTGAACACCTCCGTGTTGAGATGCTTCGAATGCCAGACTGGTTTAGGAAGGATTTCGACGCGCGCGCAGGAACGCGCGCGTGCGAGTTTGGGGGGGCGCAACAATGATATAATCTAATGTTTTCGACATGCGCGCGCGTGTGGCCTGCATGCTCTCGTTCGACAGTATGGCCTAAGGCTGCCAGCGAGTGCGCGCGTGCGCAGAAGCGTGGCAGATGTCGGCCGAGCGAACTGAGGATGCCTGTGACAGTTTTGAGACGCTACGTTCTGGAATGGTTAGGAGCCCAATGGCGCTTTTGCATGATCTCGATCTGCGCGTGCTTTGGGCGCGCGCACGTGGTCCGTAGGGATTGTTCTCCTCCTCCTACTCCATCCTCCTCCTCCTCCTCCTCCTCCTCCTCCTCCTCCTCCCTCGGGCAGGGGGGGGTGAAATACCGGGCTGGGATGATGGGATGATCTGATTTCATATGTAGGATGAGCGATCGCGCCATAAAAACGCAATACGCGGAGGGGGTCCGAGAAGTCTTGTGTCGGCATGGGGGGTGGATTTCAGTTCTCTTAGGACATGGGGCCTATGTGGTGCATCCATCCTGGGCGCCAGTCGCAGGGCACCACCCACGGGGCATAAAGGCAAGAACCAGACTTCAGGGCGAGTGGGGCATTATTGGGCGGTAGCCTTGGGGCACCAGCCACATGGCACCACTTATCGAGCATCAGGCTAAGAACCATTAAGCGCAACAGGCAGGGCATCATAATCAGGGCACCGCCCGCATTCGCAAGAAACAGGGCATCGTAGCGCGCCAGCCATAGGGCACCGTAGATAGCAGGACATCCCGGGGCACCGGTCATAGGGCACGACTCATCGATCACCAAGACAAGAACAAACCGTTGTAACAAACAGTGCATCACAGGACGCGAATTTCAGGGCACCGCTCATGGAGCACCAGGGCACGATGAATCGCAGCAAACAGGGCATCCGAGGGCATCAGCCAGACGGCACCACCAATCGAGCACCAGCCATCGTATCAAACAGGGCATCATATGGCACCAGCAAGACGACACCACACGTGGATCACCAGGGCAAGAACCATCAATCGCAAGAAACGGGGCACCGTAAGGCACCAGCCATGAGGCACCACCCATAGGACATAGGTCACCATGGCAATAAGCAGCACTCGCAGCATACTGGGCCATCATCAGGCACCAGCCAGACGGGTCCGCCCATATGGCGCCATTGCAAGAAGCCAGTCCCCACACGCACTTCCAATTCCTTTCGGTCCGAGTCACAACTCCCTGGTGCAAGCACTGCTCGGGCAAGCAATCCAACATGTACACGAATGCAGGGCGGCTCTCTTTCAAGCTAGGGCTTCCGCTGGGTACTGTCTATCAAGCAATGATGCAATGTCACGCCAAAGTGCACAACAGCCAAGCGCATGGAGGGTGGTTCCCCTCCAAATTGGGGCTATCACTTCAGAACCTTTCACGCTTGACGTCATGTACTTTGTATCGCACGGACGTGTGCATTTTCTTGGCAAGGACCATCGAGGAGCATTTCGGGCCATCTTGCTTCAACATACTCGCACGAAGCCGAACAATGCAAGAGGAATTGACGTCCGAGCGATGGAAAGTACAGCGTGAGATCACGCAAGAGAGCCACACGGACGGAGCGCGGTTTATTCTCACATGGTTTTCTTGCTTGACACTCACTTGAACACGTTGATGCCACAGCCAGGCTCTTATATACCAGCGTTTGCTCCACATTGATGTTCTGCAACAGACATGGACCTCTAAACTGCTGGCGCGGATGCTTATACTCGACCTGGCTCTATTCAACTGTAATCTACTCCTTTCTTCTCGCTGCTAAGTGGTTTTGCTAAAGCCGACTCTATCATGCTTTATTTGGCTCTACTCTATTCTGCCCCGACGCTGCCCCGATCCCGCGCGTCCCCGTAGGTTGGGCCGTGTATCCGAGTGGCCGTGCACGGGTCGATTTTCTTTATTGCACCCCCCCCTTCTCTCCACTCCTTCGGGTGTCTCCTCCTGTCCCGTCCTCTCACTCGTGCGCGCTCCTCCTTCTTGTTCCTCTTCTTCCCCTTCTCGGGTCCCACATTGGTGCAACTCTCCCCTCCCTCCGATCTTTACTGTCGACAGGCAGCGCTCGCGTTCGCATGGCCCAACATTCCTCCGCGTCGCACTCCCCATGTAATCTCTGGGCGACGAGAACTATATCGAAGACGCCTACGGCGAATCACCGCCACCCCCTGGCTTTTTGGAAATGCCTGCGTGGCTGAAAGTTGGGTTTGAGCTTGTCCAAGTTATCGGGCCACGCGTTCCCCGAGTGGGTTTCGAGAGCCTTCGGGGAACACGGAGTCGGGCTAGCTATCGGACCAGGTAGTTTCTGAGCTTTCGGGCCTCCTGGAAAACGTCTTGGAGGGGTCTTGGGCCGTCTTGGAGGCCTCTGGCGGGCCTTTTGGGCAGTCTAAGGCCATCTTCAGGCCATCTGGGGCCGTTTTGGGTGCATCTTGGGGCCATCTTTGCCGTCTTGGAAGCCTTCTTGGCCGTCTTAGAGGCATCTTGGAGGCCATCTTGGCCGTCTTGGAGGCCATCTTGGGCGCCTGGCGGGGCAACTTCGACAGGGGGCTCGCCCGGGCCAGGCCTCCGCGCGCAGCTCTGGCTGCGCCGCGAGGGGCCAGGGGCAGGTCGAGGCCCGCCCGCGGGGAGAGTGGCCGCGGCGGCGGAAGTGGCGGAGGCAGAGGGCGCGACGCGCCGCCGAGGAGGTCACTGGGCCCCAGAGGGCACTGGCCGCGGGGATCCAGTGCTCTCGGCGCTGGGTCTGGAATTTGGAGGGCGCGCACAGACTTCGGTTGGCGACTTGGCCGTGCAGCGAAGTTGCCTGCCAGCGGGCCGCTACCGGGCTGAGGGGTGGCTATCGTGCCTCGTCGGGGCAGCGGCTTCAATTCGTTTCCCGCGACCGTCGCGCGCGTGGAGATCGCGGGCCCCCCCGACCCCGTCGGGGCGGCTCGCGTGGGCCAGGGGGGCTTGGGCAGCCGTCCTCTGTCATCGCCTTGGGCGGGCCCTCCTGCGCGTCTTCCAGATCTGCCTTATCTTCGCAGGCAGTGGCTGGACAACCACTTGAGCGCTCGCGCGGAGGACTTGCAGGCTGTAGTTTTTTACGCGGCGAGCGCCTGCTGTGCGGCTGTGGACTTGCAGGCGAGGGTTGCATGGCAGTGTGCACCGCTGGCCAGCTCGCGCAGCAATGTGCGGCCCTCTGTGTCCGCCCCCCAGCGGCGTGGGGGAGCGCGGCGGCCGCGCGGGGCCCCGCTCGCCGCGGCAGGGCGACGGCGCCCCCA